CAGCAGAGAGGTATGATCGGTTTATGGAAATGTGGGCGATGGAGGAGAATTAGCGCTGAAAGCAGCCCACATTGACCAAGCATGTTCTCCATAATGCACTCCTGAAATCTGGGTATTTTCTGGTGTTACTTGATGGAGTGCCAATGCTTACCTCCGCAACTTGGACTAAGAGATGTGCTTTCCTCTAGCCTTTAGTTTCCTGCGAAGTATAGCCCTATACATGAGTATAGCTACCGTCACAACCATTTCGAATGGAAGTTGAATGCGGGACGCATTCCATAAACGGAACGAATCTGCTAAGTGGAGTCTCAGCCATATGATATTTACCAGAATTGCCCAGAAAACATCAATGTTCAAGTTCACTGGCTCGTATCCGTTATTTGGGCGAAAACTCAGTGTTTCGATGATAACATCGCCAACTGTAGGAGAGGTGTCAACAAAAACAAATCATACCCACTGTTCACTTATCTTCATTCATGGTCGTAACGAATGCACTTGACAGAGTGATAAGGCTTCAGAAGAGTTCTTTTGTTGTTCGTTCATCAGCTGGCTGTTCTTACTTCCTTTGTGGTTCTCTTCCTCTCGTTTCGTTCTCACTCTTTCAAATTGGAGTAATTTCCTTTTTCCTTTTTCCCCTATCGATGGAGTGATTCTGTGGATATTCAGCACTGCCTGCCTTTATTGGTCCTGATCTTTTGTCAGAATGAAATCTACTACCGGTCTATTTCGGCATAGGAGTCCCCACGAGTATAGGTATTTGTCCGCACAGTCAACAATAGCTAAAGTATCCGGGCAAGCACTATCACCTCTAACCTAACTCAATTCTGCCTAGGACTTTTGGATGAAGGTCTAGTCATTCAGCGAGGCCTCTTTTTGTGATAATTTAATTTTTGTGGTTGAAATGTACTTGTTTGCTCCAGAAGCTGTGACCTTTACCTTTCTGAGAAGGCAAAAAAGCGATGAACGTCTTCCATCATGCTTTGGTGTTCAGAAGTTGAAGCAAACACATCCCTAGAAATCCTAAAGAAATGCTGAAGAAATGCAAGGTTTTGTGCACCAGCTCTTACTTCCAAACAGTGCGTGAAATTTTCCACCAGCCTAAGGGCCCTATTTTCTGTAACAGTGCAATTCTTAACTTAATTACTCCTCTTTGGCGTCCTTTGTTTAGCTGTTTGTGATATCACCGTAATCACAGGATACAAAAATTAATAGTAAAGTATTTGAGCATGGACTGAAAACGATGTCAGGCTTCTTCGAATATTGTGCTCTAAAGATCTAAATACTTGTTTTTTTCAACTGATCCTAAGACAGTTTTTATCTATCCACTCAAAAATTGGCCCATAACTCAGGGACTTTTTGGTACCATGGTTCAGTATCGTGGTTTCCTTATGTAATCGGTTTATATGACTACGTGACACCTCATACTTTGGATTTATTATGGATGAGTCAAAACTTTAACTTAGTAAAACTTTAATTGCAAATCTCAGTGGCAGGTGAATATCGAAATCCACAGGGAAAGGAAATGCGAGGTTTACAGAGAGCCAAACTTGGACGCTACTTTTTGACTTCCATTCTTTGTAGGACCTTCACTTACAGTAGGACTTTCATTTACAGTAGAGCATCAAAACCGTTTTTTTTTTGCTTATCATTGTTTCTGGAGAACAGTTTTCGCTCTTTAGTCTTGTTTACGCCTTTTATTGACGGTCTACCCCAGACTTCATGAA